CCTTGCCAAACTCAAATTCTAAAAACATACCACCTGAACCAAAAAACACAAGAAGACATCAGGCAAGGAATCATCCCCAATGTGCAACCTAACAGACAAAATGAAACACTCAGTCAAAAGGAGAGGAGAGCATTAAAGACACTGAAACAAGACGAAAGCATCATCGTCCTATCGGCAGACAAACGCAGACTAACAGTAGTAATGGATAAAACTGACTGCATCAGCCAAGTTGAAAACCATCTGAATGATCCAAACACCTACCAAATAATCCACAATGATCCAACAAAACAGCTAGAGAACAAAATAAAAGATGCCCTAAGAAAAATGGAAAAAGAAAAACAGCTAACATCACTACAGAGAAAGCACATGCAACCACAAGATTCCTCCACACCCAGGTTCTATGGAATCCCAAAACACACAAGAATGGGATCCCCTTACAATCAATTGTGTTTCTATCTGAAATACCGATGTACTAGCAAAAACCCTGCAAAGGAAATTCAGACATCTGGTCAATGACTCAACCCACTCAATAAACTCCCCAGAACGATTTCTCCAATGCAAGAAGCACACCAAGATCAACAAGGAAGAAATCAACTCTTCCTCTTCACCTCGATTGACATTGACCTGATTAAACAAATCATATACCACCTACTCATTAAACACCATACCCACAAAGGTGATGCCATCACAGAATGCTCCATGACCACAGAAATCATCATGAAACTTCTGGATCTATGCCTCAACACATACTTCAAGTTCAACAGGAAAATCTATAAGGAAGTACAAGGTACCCCGATGGAAACACCCATATCAGGCCTAATAGCAGAAGCAACAAGCCATGCAGTGATTCGAATCCATATCTCTACCCACCATCCAACCAAAATTCTAGACACACAACATAAATGACACCTTCATAATCATTACACACTCCCAAACTGAAGAAACACATCACCTACTCAATAACATATTCTCTGGGATCAAATTCACACGTATCCCATTCCTTGACATTGATATAAGGAGGCTAGACAACAGAGAACCAGAAACCTACAAATCCACGCACACAGACCAGATCCTCAGCTTCACAAGCATTCACCCCACTGCACACAAAAGAAGCTGTGTCCAGACCCTCTTCAGAAGGGCCAAGGCACACTGCAACACCACAATACTAAGAAAAGTGAAAGAAAAATGGCTGCTTGACATCTTTCTCTGTAACGACTATCCAAAAAACTTTGTTTTCCAACACACAGCTCCCAAACCATAACAAACCACACAGCCAACCAATATGCAAAAACTAACTCTATTATATACAAAAGGGGCGTCAGAAATGACAGCCAGAATTCTCCAACCTCTAGGAATAGCAATAGCTCATAAACCCACAGTCACACTCCGCCAGGAATTATCCAGAACCAAAGACAAGATACAGAAGAATGAAAGAAACGGTGTTAACTACAAAATCAGCTGTAACCATTGCAACCGGTTCTACATGAGAAAAACATCACATCAGTTAAAAGCCAGGATCCACAAACTCCGGCTGGCAGTCAAACGCCACAATCCTAAATCCTTAATCTCTACCCACCCCAACATCAAACAGCACCAGTTCAATTGGAGCAACACAAAAATCATCGGACACACTACCACCCACCATGCTTGTGAGTTCATAAAAAGCCTGGCACTCTATAAGCAATTCCATCAACAGACATATTGACCTATAACCAGCCTACAAACCCCTCAGAGTCCAAATAAACTGCACAGCCAACCAGAAACAGCACCAATCCTAACCTACATAAGCTCCCCTCAACCAGCACGTCACCTCCAAATGAACCACACCTGATGTAATCTCCCCATCATAAGACTCTCATTGATGACTCACATCTGACCCATCACAAGATCCATCACAGGATTCTGACCTGATGGGACCTTCACCTGACGTGACCTCACCATCACAAGACCCACTGACCACATGAAGCCCTTATAAATAAAAGATCACTGAACTAACATCCCCTAAACTCCACTGAAGATGTTTCCTAGCCTGGTAACGAAACATTTGGAAACCAACCCATGAGCTCCGAGAACGAACCTTCACCCTCATCCTATACCCAAGCTACAGATATTCGCCACTATTGCAAAGGAAGGAAGTATCTGGCAGCTGGTGATATAGATCAGTGCTTTCCAACTTTTTCACCGATTGTACCACTTTTAGGATATAGCAATATATGAGTACCACCAGTCGCCTAACAAGGTGTCAAAAACTTGATGACCAAAAAAAAAAAGGAAAAAAGTGATAAAGTATAGGTAGTCCTTGACTTACAACAGTCCTCTTAGTGACTGTTCGAAGTTACAACGGGACTGAAAAAAGTGACTTAAGACCATTTTTCACACTTATGACCATTGCAGCATCCCCAGGGTCATATGATTTACATTTGGATGCTTGGCAACTGATTCATATTTATGATGGTTGCGGAGTCCCAGGGTCACGTGATCCCCTTTTGCAGAGTAAAGTCGATGGGGAAACCAGATTTACAAACGTGTTACTAATTTAACAACTGCAGTGATTCACTTAACAAATGTGGCAAGAAAAGTTGTAAAATGGGACAAAGCTCATTTAACAAATTTATCACTTAGCAACATACATTTTGGGCTCAATTGTGATCGTAGATTGAGGACTATCTGTGCACCCACTGACCACACTTTTAATGGGAAACTTGTGCCTGCTTCTCTGACTTTAATCTTTGCACTGTTCTATCCCCTTCTCTCCCTCTTCTTGTCTCAAAGAAGCCTCTTCTCTTCTTTGTCTCTCTTTCTCCATTCCTATCTCTATCTCCTCTCCTTTTCCCATTGAAATCTCCTCCTTTTATATCCTCTCCTCTCGCCCTGTCCTCCTTCTTTTCTTTTTGGTGCAGCTCCAGCTGACTCCTCTATCCAAGGTTGCGTGCTACTCCCAATCAGCCTGCACTCAGCAGAGCCCTGGCAACACCACAGCTCCAGCTGACTCTCCCATAAGCCTGCGCAGTGCTGCCACCACTTCAGCTCATTCCCCTGCTACGCTTTTTTTTACACTTTTTTTACAGTGCTTTTCAACCCGTCATATGCGTATCACCGAAATGCCACCAGTGATAAGCATACCACACATTGAAAAGTACTGGTATAGATAGATAGGCAATAACTGAGGCATCTCGATATTTTGACATTCAGTGAAAAAGTTTAAATTAACATCAGCTGAATAGATTTGGCACAAAATAAATCCTTCTGAAAGATTAATGGTGTTTAATTTCAAACTAGGTTGCTGGATACATGTGGTGATATTCTGAAATATTATAAAATAACAGTGGTTAAATGCTACATGGACATACAGTGAAATGATTAATGTAAGAATTTGATTATCTGGGGAGGAAGAATAAAATCCAGAGACTGGGAGTCTCATTTCTGTATCTTAAACTTCTCTTATATAGCTCCCTGAAGCAGAATATCATTTGATAAGTTTAGCAAGTGGTTATTCAAACTATACCAAGCAGTTATGGCTTGTAAGCGGTTTTCTGGGAGAGCAATTGTAATGAATCAGTCAATTAGTGGCTCATTTGACAAATCACGATTAAGTAAGATACAGCTTCAAATGATGCTTGAATGTGCATTTTATTCTTTGGAATGATGTTTTGCAAGACTGCTGTTGTATACAAGGCTGAGCATTACAGACTTGGACTCCAAAGTCTGGCTGATCATCAGGTGGTAGAAAAGCGAATCAGAAAATGCTGATTTCTGTCTTATAAAAAGAAAAAAGAAAATGCTAACTTCTTCATGGCTTACATCTAATGGTCGTCCAGATTTTTTGCAGTCCATAGATAGTAGGCTAATAAGAGGAGGATGTTGTTTGATACAAAGACATTTTAATAACACTTTTTGAATTTAATTAAAGATCTTATATGATTTTTGTAGTTATGCAGTACAATGACATTTGAAAAACTGGTCACGGTGCTACAAAATTTAAGGTTTCCATTTTAAAAATTATTTTCGAGATATTTGGAAGTAGAGCATATTTCATAATAGGACTAAAACTTTATATTTCATTTTATTACAAGGCTTGTGGGCACGTTGTGCTAAAATTGAAGGTCCCATATTCATGTATGTTCCTCTTTTTGTTAATCTGATTTTTTTTTCTCTTTTGTCCTTTTTTAAGATGTGGTTTAAATTATTTGCATATTCACTTTGCAGTGATGCGATTTCTCTGCTTCGCTGAATTGCTTGCTCACAAGTGCATGCTGCAAAATTTCAATATATTTCTTATAACTTTGTTAGAATGCTTTTGGTTTCTAATGACTAACTTACAATATTATTCAAAAAGTTGTAGCTGGATCTCCATTTTTTAAAAAAATTAAGAGCGACTAAAAAGAGAGCTCTTACTGATTAAGAGCACAGATTTTCAGATAGCTCCCATCTGCTTTTTTCCCCCCAGTTGAGCAAAAGAATGTGCAACAAAAACTTTAACATGTTTTCCCAATTGTGATCTTAATCAAGTGCTGCATGCCGCCAAAAATCACTCGGTTGTAAGGTAGGTGGGTATTTTTAAAAATAAAAAACTGAAGGAGAAATGATATCTGACGACACTAAGGCTCTAAAGATCTGCTGCCGGTCAATATTTTATTTATTAAATTTATATGCTGAATTGCAGGAGGCAACTTCCATTGAATGGAAGTGCTAATGAGTCACTACTTTTCTCTTGTAAGCAGAATTATAATTGATTTCCATTATTATCAGGTATATAAGACTTTTATTTTATTTTTATCCCATTCTACTCTATCTATGCCAATTAGTTTGTAGCACAACTAGTGGCGGATGAAGGAAGACCTTTGGTGTGATCTTTGCCATCACTCAATATGAAAACTGTCCCCTTTCCCAGGAAGTTAGTTCCAGGAATTTACTGTTGCTCCTTGAAAAATTGGAGCCCTCAAAAGCTTATTTTAATAATCTTTTCTTTCTTAATTAACACATTTAACTTCACATGGAAGATAGACTCACTCCAAGTGTCCAGAGGCTTCCCTTCTGGAAAGGTATGTAAAAGTGACATTGTCAAATATAGCATTGCCTTAGGACACAGATTCATTTTTCTGTTGTCACATTAGGATCTCAGAATACCTATGTGATATAAGTTTGAGTCCTGCATTCATGGTTAACAAAAATTTCATTCATATACAGTTTTGTCCCATTTGCTCTTTCTTACTTATCCACCAGTTTTATCCAGCCATGTATGCTTGGACCAGTTTCCTTCCTTTCTTAAGTTTCCTGCCCCAAGGTTCTACTCCAATGTCCAGACATCTTGGCAAACTGGGATGGGGGGGGGAGAGAATTGAATGTTAACAGTGTTTATGTGAGGGTGTGATTATGTGTGCTCGTGAGTGCCTGGCTATGCTTTGACTAACACTCAGAACTTCCAAAGGCAAAAATGTTGGCCCATTAAACAACATAATATAGGACAGGGTGGAGTTGTCAGGATGAAGGACCAAGCATCAACACTCCCCACCCATGTACCTAACTATAGCTATTACCTGGACCTCAAGATTCCCTAAATAGCTCTTCATGGATGAGAAGTGAAATGTCTTCAAGGAAAAATAAAATCCAGCTGCCTTTTGAAAAAGCAACTTTGGGACAACCATGACTTGGATGACTTAGAATCTCCACAGACATACCAATTAGAATAAATAATAGCTATGTATAAAGAGTCAGTGTAGGGAAATGAGTGGTAAGATATAATTTGCAGATTACAATTCAATATTTTTTCTAATTCTTCTGATTGTGGAGGAAAGAGGATTTATATCTGACTATTTTACTCCATGATCTTTAGATCAAAATCAGAAAGGATATCCATTCCTTTCTACAAAACTGCAGAAGCTGATTAGATAAACTCAATATATTGGTTCATTGGTCTGCTTCTGCCACTCTTTCTCAATTTGGACTTTCTTTCAAACAGTTTGAGCAGCCCACATCTTTCTCTTGTCAGAAATCATGTAATTTACATAATACTGTCAGGTATTGTTAAACTGAGATAACGTAACCAGTGCATGACCTTTATAATTAAGTGATGCTTTGAGTCTTTATTATTCTAGAGTAATTCTTATATGCTCACAGAGTTACAGGCCCATTGCGAATATGAAGAACTATAAAAATAGTAACATTTTCTTAGTAAAACCTCCTTCCTTCCTTCCTTCCTTCCTTCCTTCCTTCCTTCCTTCCTTCCTTCCTTCCTTCCTACCTACCTACCTACCTACCTACCTACCTACAGGTTTATCAACAGCAGGGTGTGCAACTGCAGCTTGCAACCCTACAGGTGGGGGACTTCTATAGACTCCACCAGCCTTCTTCTTGTCCCTCTGATCTTCAGCCCCATTCCATGGGGTTGGATGGCATGTATGAGAAGAGCAGAATGCTGAATATACAAAACAGCACATGGAGTAGTCGTCAGGAGTGGTACCAAGACAGTTTGGTGACAGGACAACTCAACCCTGGTATGGAATCCCCCTGTATATATATGTTTATATGTGTACAGACAAATATATACATGTTTTGCCCTTTCCCTTGAGTTTCCTAGAAGTTAAATAGTTGAATATGTCCAACTTTGAATCTGGGAATGTAGGGGGACAAAGCAGAAGGAAATTTTTCTGTTTCTCCAATCTGCTTTTCCTGGGTTATGTCTACTTTAGCTTCCAAATAGACAATTCTGTGCTTCATTATAGGTAGGAGATATTAAATAAAGCCTACCCAGCTGGAACTCTTCTAGCCTTCTAGAATTCTCTGCAAACATTTCTTCATTAATCACCCTATCCAGCAAAGATCAGGAGTGGAGCAAGATCAGCTCACAGCCTTCTCCAACTAAATCAAGTTATTTGTTTCACCTCTACTGCTTGGTATTCTTTGGTGTTCACCAGAGCACAAAAATGCCTTGGCATGGATTACTGCTAACTCATGACTCAGGTCAACAGGAGTCTATTTTGAGCCACAATTTCAATTGCCTAATAAAGAGTCAATCAAAGGCATTGTAGAAATGTAAATGGTAGCTTGCTGCCGACTTCCTCTTGATCAAGTAAGCTTTTAAAGGGAAATTGTCCAGCCCTTCTCATATCAAATATCAGTGCAGAAAATTCTCTTGCATTTCTCCTCCCCCTACCACCCAAAAAAATCTGGGGTCCCCAGACCATATCTCTGCCAGATAAATCTTTTTTTTTCACTCAGCATCACAGACACATCTGTCTAATTATTAATTGACTGTTCCATCAACTAAGGAAAGAGCTCATAAGAACGTGGTTCACATTTTGGACAAACTCTCTAGAAAGAGTGCTTAATGGAGCAAATGAGATAAGAAGTGCTTTGAATTCCCAAGCATGGGGTTTGCACAGTCTGTATTTGGACGCCTTAGAGGCTCCGAAAATGGGGCTGGAAATGGCTGTGGGGATATTAGGACATATGTGGCTTCTCATTGTTCTAAACCCAGTTTGCCAAAGATGATTGGGAGGGGAGGTACTTTATGCCCCAATTGACTGTCATGTGAAATAACCACTGAGATTAGGCAGATATTTGGTTTAATGTAGCATGGCTTTCTTACCTGTCAAAACTGAAGATCTTCACTTCTTTGCATCCCTTCACATGTGTTCTAGAGTACACTGGTGAACCACACCACAATATTTAGAAGTTATCACAAATTAAAAGCAAATCTTAATGTTACAATGAAACTTCAAAGGTGATGTGTCATTGAATTCTCCTTTCTGAAGATGATTGAGAAGGATAAAAATGGAAGGAGAATGGATGTTTCCATGCCTGGCTTAAGGGTCTCCTGGAATTAGGAATCATGAATTAGTACTCGTTTTATTTTCTTATGTTGCAAACCTTAAATGATTACTTCAAATTACTTTCAATTAGAATAATAGGCTAATTATCCAATGGATGAGTCAATACAATATGTATCTCATATATCTTCCAATCTATTATTTGGTTCTTAAGAATTCTTCAAAGCTCATTTTTCAGTAACGCATGTTGCTCGTTCTCATTGCAAGAGAGAGCTGCATGTGCAGGCATACTGCACTTTCTCATCCCTCTTGAGCATTTATTTCCAGGTAGAAACTTTAGATAGAATACTAGACTTACTCATCTTCCTTTCGCATTTTGTTTAAAACCTTGGTTGCTAACTTCAAAATCAAAGCTAAGGGCATTAGCAGATTCTATAAGATAAGAAGGTAGTGGGACCCTTCTGCAGAAGATGATATGCCTATTAGAACTGAACTTTGTGCTTCCTTGCAGTACATAGACAAGATTATCCATGGAGGGAGTCAGAAAATTCAAGATGGCAATCATGATCATGCCACTGAAGTTCTATCACTCTTTGTGCATATAAAATGAGTGGGGCTTTCATCATATGGTTACGTTCTTGACATTTTTGATTCTGTCCCTTTTATAGTCATTCCAGTAGAAACATAGTTCTTTGCACTCCACTTTTTCATAGTCTCCACTGAGATTCAAAAGGACCTTTTTACGTACTGACAAAGTCTTACCTATCTTTATGGAATATAAAACAGAAAATTATTTACTTATTAAAAATACTTATATGGCCATCAAATTCATACACATTGATTCTGAGTGGATTAAAACAATAACATTCCATAGTATAAAAATCCATAATCTCCCCCCAACTCAATAATCTCTAGAGCAGTGGTTCTCAACCTGTGGGTCGGGACCCCATTTGGGGTCGAACAACCATTTCACGGGGGTCGCCAAACAACGCAGTCCGCCATTTTTTTCCCCTTTACCTTAGCTGTGCTACTTCCTTTTATTCTATTGGCTTTTGAAAGCCAATAGAATAGACTCTCTTGAATAGAGTCTAATTCTATTGGCTTTCAAAAGCCAATAGGAATTGTCCAGGCTGTTTCTGTCCTGCTGAGCCCGCCAAAAGTCCCATTCTGCAAACGGTGCTGCACCAGTTGAGTAGTTCTCAATTTACGACCGGTTGGGGTCGCGGCATTAAAAAGGTTGAGAACCACTGCTCTAGAGTAATCTCCTAGGGCAGGGGTAGGCAACCTCAGCTTTTTTATGACTGGTGGACTTCAACTCCCAGAATTCCTGAGCATGGCTCAGGAATTCTGGGAGTTGAAGTCCACCAGTCATAAAAGAACTGAGGTTGCCTACCCCTGTCCTAGGGAAACTGATGGCAGAATGTGAGATTGCTTTAAGGTAAGCAGGGACCTTGACATTAGGCTCTTATGGCTGATATTCCAAAATCTTTTCACTTCAATAGTTGCTCCTGTTGCTCTGGTTCTGTGGTGAGACGGTTCATAAACTGTGCTGTCACCCCATCTCAAACCACAATAACCCTTGTTGCTTATTGCTGCCAGGCGGTCAAATCACATGGTATTGCTTTTCCTCAAGTTGCAACATTCAACAGCTGAACTGAACATCTAATAAAATTAATAAAAAGCTGTAGTGCTGTACTACATTGGGCCTTCTGCCCATTCATCACTAGGGACTTTCCCCGCAGCTGAGTTGACATCTCCATCCTCCGTGACATAGCAAATATATATATATATATAGAACAGTCAATTTTCTTAAAAACACACCTGATAGTTGCTTGTATTGTGTGACCTGGCTTGGAGGTCCATAGACAATCCTGCCCACTTGGAACCTGGGATATAATAGATGTCCTTATGGATGTTGTCTAATTCCAAATGCCTTTGATTGGTTTGGCCAACCTGGAGCATTCAGACAGCCTGGAACAGACGTTCCAGAATCCCTAGCCAACACAACTTGCAGATCTTGAGAATAATTACCCAAGACACTTGGAAACTGACAAGTTTGGGAAGGCTGTACTAGTTGTCATATGTATCCTATTCTAATGTTCTCAGTCCCAGTTATATGATCCACATCCACAGAGCCATGGCTGTTGCCAAAGCATAAAAGCAGGAGGTCCTCCTTCTGCCCAACTTCTCCATTTGTGGTGATTTCAGACACAGTTCAAAACCTTTTCCCCCTCCCTCCCGCTCATTTCCCTTCTCTCCTCCATCTTAACCCCCTCCCCCGCAACCCTCCTGCCCCATTTCCCCTTTGGGTGTATGCAAGCGTGTTTCCTTCCTTTGCATTTTTGCAAAGATATCTCAGCAAAAAATAGAACTGAGGGCGATATGGGAGAATGGAGCAGGATGGGGGAGAGGGAGAGGCTGGTTGAAGTGGCAGGGGTGGTGAGGACGGACCCTGACAGCCCTACATCTGGGCCAGAGCCAAGCAGAAATATTCTTCACCAACGAGGCATTTTGGATCTCTTTGCTGCAGGGACTGCAAACAGTTAGAAGAATAAGGGGGAGGGAGAAGGCCATGTCATCTCACATTAAGGCACTCTGGCTGATGCTGTGGCTTTGCATTGCCTGCGGAGATCTGAGTGCTTGGCTTCGCAGAAGCACGGAAAGGTCATTGCTCAGGATAGAGCTCCCCTTGGACAAAAGGTTAAGCTCTTGTGGGTTCCCCCAAATCTTCAGTTGCCATCCCTTCACTATCTCTTTCTCATGGGCTCCAAGGCCTCAAGCAGCTGTCACCAGTTTCCCTGCAGCCCCTATTTTAAGCCAAACAGGAACAAAACTTCCTGTCTCAGAGAGATCAAGATTCCTGCAATACACACCAGATACAATACAAAACCTACACGCTATCCTGGAAATGAAGTCTTCTTCCATTTGCCCCCCCACCACCACTTTTCTGCCAGAAAAACTGAGACTGTTTTCATGTCTTCCCGTTTGTTGTCCCTTCTGGTCTTGAGTCACTATGCATGCATTATATTTTGTGTGTCGTGTGTGATGGATGGTTCTGCCACTATAGTGAATTAGAACTAGATAGGAGAATCTATTTCCACTATGATTATGCAGTCATGGATTAACAATTTCTTAACACACATTATTCAGTGACTCCTTATAAACTATTAATAAACAGTTGTCTCACCACAGAGTCAGACAGGAAGAAGAAAAGGCCTGTGGTGGGGGAAGAAGCTAAGAAGCCAGAGGAGAATGTCAGTTTTCCACCAGGGGACGAAGCAAGACGCCATGTGAGGTTCAGGGATCCCATGGCAGATTTCTGGACTCAGTTTATTGGAAGAGAAAGTTGCAGCAAATAATATTTGCTAGAAAGAAGGCTACAGCTATATAGATACAGGAATTCCAGTGCATATATTTTCAAAGTCAGAGATTATCTATATAGGCAATTTTAGGTGGGAAAATTTTGGTTTGGGTTTTTTTGTTGTTGTTCTTTACCTCTGTAACAGAGCTTAACTCTTTGAGGAAGGTGAGTCAACCTATGTCTGTCGATGGTAGGCTTCCTATCTGTGTGAGAACCAGCCAAAGAACATCATCACCCTGCAAAATTCACCCTTTTTTGAATGTGCATGTAACATTGTATGTACACACTGAAGGATCAGAGCTTGTGCTGCAGGGCTACTTTTGTCAGCTGGTCTCCCCTTTCCCCTTCCTGCACTTGTCTAAATGTGCCCCAAACAAAAGTGTCTATCTTCCTTCTGTGAGTCTGATCTTTCTAACTATGGACAAAGGACAAGTAACAATGGTGCTCTAAGTAGCACTAAGTGGTTGTCTCAAGCCACCATATTAATTCCCCACAATGCTGTGAAGCTCCCTCACACTCAAAGCTACTAATGGCTATTACCTATTGATTTTAACTGAAAAGCAGAGCATTGTGGGAAGCTGAAATGGAGGCTTGATCCAGTTACTTATTGCTTGGAGCATGCAAAAATTAATGGGGAGCTGAACAAACGTTCAGAGTTACTAACCCTGACTGTAGATGTAGACTTAAGAATTTCCACAATCCACTCCTTTAAATTTCAAACACACCAAGACAGATGTCTATGAATTTTTGCAAGGCTTTGCATTCTGCACTAAAATCTCACGGTCTGTGGGTGGAGCAAAATTATGCAGATTTTTTTCATGTCTGAGTTGATGAGTTGATAAGAACAAGAGTTGAGTTGGACACTTCTCAACTGGACCCTAATCTTACAGAGGAAAGGGGAGAAAGAAAAGTAGGGGTTGGAAATGGAAGGAGAGCAGTTGTGTTTAATATAGGAGTGTGAAGCGATTCCTAATCTTGCAGCACCTTGTGGCTACATTTTCCCTTTTGCCTTTTTCAGACAAGACACTTTCCCGCAGATATTGTACAAACTGGTCATTGCATGAAGCTTGGCCACTAGTGGTTAACAGTGGCCCCCAACTCAATATTTGGAGCAAGATAGAGGAGTAACCTGGAATAGGAGAAAACGGCAAAGAAAGTTAACTATCTTCACATCACCACAATTTTTCAGGATAATTAGGGTGGCACTGAATCCATTTATTTCCATCTCAAACACACTGAATCCAAATCTACATGCAAAGCCTTGGGGTGCTTGGTGGGAGCAGTCTAAGCCTCTATACTGTGTCTACAATAGTGATGCCGAACAAAACAGATCCACAACTGGGGTGGAGGCAGGTTTGATGCTGATTTTCTTGTTGTCTTCTTGGTTGGCAGAAGGAAGCCTTGGCTGGCTCCTACAGCATTTGTAGGTAGTCCCCGACTTGTGATTGGTGACTTAGTGAAAGTTTAAAGTTCCAATGCCAACCCCATGATCACATTTTGGCCACTCAGCAACCAGCCCACATTTATGGCTGTTTGCAGTATCTAGCAGCCATGTGGATGTGATTGTCAGTGTTTTTGCCAAAAATGGGCATTTACTTCAGTTTTCAGGAAAAATGCCCCATGGTGAGTAATGGATTCATTTAACCACTGTGGTGCTCAATTGACAATTGCTGTAAAAAAATGTCATCCACTCACATAATAACCCACCTTATGACTATCGTGACTTATAACCATCCTGGTCAGGATCCATTATGGTCATAAGTAGCGGACTACCTGTAAAAACTAGTGCTGGTAATAACCACCATGTTTCTGAGGGCTTGGAGAAACAGTTTGGTGCAGTGGTTAGGCACAAAAGCCAGTTAAGTTATTCTGGGCCTCTCATTTTCAGCCCAGCCTGTCTCACAGTGTTATTGAGGAATAATAACATTGTGAGACAGGCTGCCACAAAGAAGAGGGAGTCAAGCTATTTTCCAAAACATCTGAAGGCAGGACAAGAGGCAACAGATGGAAACTAATCAAGGAGAGAAGCAACCTAGAACTAAGGAGAAACTTCCTGACAGAACAATTAAACATTGGAACAACCTGCCTCCAGAAGCGGTGAATGCTCCAACAACTGGAAGTTTTTAAGAAGAAACTGGACAGCCATTTGTCCAAAATAGTATAGGGTTACCTGCCTGAGCACGGGGTTGGACGTGATGACCTCCAAGGTCCCTTCCAACTTTATTATTATTATTATAAATAAAAAGAACTCATTATTACTTCACTTTGAATCGTATAAATAAAGACTACATATAAAGCTAATGAATAACAAAAAATAGTTGAAATGATGTCTCTGCTTCCATCTCTGCTCCTAAACCTAAACCATTTGACAACTTATAGTCTTAGAGGACTTCAACTCCCATATCCCAGAGTCATTGTATCTGTCATTGTTGGGTATATCTGAAAAGCACCAATGTGGGGAAGAGTGTTATTAACTCTTTGCTGCTCATGGTTCTCCACCCTGCCTCCTCAGACAGCTGTCAGCAGCTAGAAAGTAGCTTGGATTCTGAGCACCCCCAAGGTGGTAGCAACCAAGATCTGGATGACTCCCAAATCCATTTGCAGTTGAAGCGCAAATTGCAAAGAAACAGAACTTCTTTTACACAGGAGCAAATAGAGGCACTGGAGAAAGGTAAGGCAAAGAGGAAACAGAGATTATGCTCTAAAGTGGGTGGAATTTCCCAGTTGGGTGGAATTTCTTTTCTAGGGTAATTAAAACAGAAGGTTGTCAGACTAGGCATGGGGAATGTCAATGTTTTTAAAACCAACATGTAGATGCGCCCTGATACATTCTGAGCAATGGCAGTAAGGGGCTGATTCAAAGAAACACATAGCACTTTGCTAGTATGTGGCCTTTGATAAAAGATGTATGAAGATGTTAGTAGTTAGTTAGTCTTTCCAGGTACTTGTTGCCCTATCACAGATGTATAAGGTGACCAACTTTTTTACAATGAAAAGGAGGACACAAATAAATTGAAGAAAAAATATTGTAAATAAAAGAAACATTTTATTCATTGCAACAATAATACAGACAACTTGCATGTGCAAAGTTTGCCGGCCAGGTGTTTTGGTGCGCTCAGCAGCAATTCCTATTGGCTTTCGAAAGTCAATAGGGGAGTAGCACAGCTCATGTAAAAGTTGAAAAAAAACCATCAAAAAAAGGTGGTGGAACGTCGGTTCTGAGCATTCTATGAGAAAAAAAAAGCCTTGCAGATTAATCTTCAAATATCGAAAAGGAGGAAATGTAGGAGGACACTTTTCAAGGGAGGAGAGAACTTACAAAAAGAGGACTGTCCTCCCTAAAGGAAGACGGTTGGTCACCTTACAGAGGTAGCCAACCCATCAGGCCCAGGCACACAGCTCAAGAGAACCAGTTGCACAGCTGCTCTATTTTTGAAACCACCTGACAGGTGAAGCCTGAAAACAATGTTTCTCAATCTTGGGAAAGTTAAGATGTTTGGATTTCAACTTCCAGAATTCTCCAGCCAAGCGGGAATGCTCCCCATGCTGGCTGAGGAATTCTGGAAGATAGTTTAAAGTTCCCAAGGTTGAGAAACATTGCCTGAAGATCTCAGAAACAGGAAATTGCTTTTTATTGCATCAGGTTATCAATCCATCTAAACTAGAATTATGGCTGGCAATGACCATTCAAAGCTCACATAGGAATTTTTTCAGTTCTAATTTAAAAATATCAGGAAATGAGTCTGAGGATTTTGCTAAAAGCAGGGTGCTTTACACATTGATTGAGCAAAACCAAAGGTATTGGAAATCCTTTCAGTAGGATGGCAGTCATGCTATTTAGAAATTATAAACATATTGCAGCCTATGTACAAACTGCATTTTTTGCCACACTTTATAAGCTATGCCATTTTAAAATCATATATCGTATTAGAAAAATTGGAGAGCACTGGATTATACATAATAATTTCACTGACTTCCTCTAACCTCTTTTTTAGAATATTGCTGTGTAATAACTATGAGAAGTATAATTTTTTTTTTGCAAACCCAGACATTAGCATTTAAAAAAAAAGTAACAATGACGTCATCTGTTTAGAGGCATTCTGGTAATGGTGTCTGATTATTCAAGATCCAGAATTGGCAATCCCGTTTCAAAGAGAGAATGGGAACGCGAACAGACATTCATGGCCATCTGGTGGTCATAAACTGTATTACAGCCTATGCACGAAGCTGCTTTTTTTTTTTTTTGCCATGTATTATAAGCCATGCCATTTTTAAATCATACATTGTACCAAAAACATAGAATGCATTACACCTGTGTTTTTCAAACTGGGCCACTTTAAGATGTGTAGGCTTCAACACCGAGAATTCCTTCAAAGTGGAGTTGAAGTCCTCCCATCTTAAAGAGGCCCAATTTGAAAAACATTGCAATGATTTTTAAGAACATAGGGCTTCCAAAGAGTATGGCTCTTTGAATAAAAAGAAAAGAAGACGAGTGCTGTGAACAGTAAATGGGAAGCACTGGACATAACATTTGCAGTCTTCCTGAATTCCTATGGAAGTCTGACACTGGAATGGCCAGATAATGGCCTAATATTGAAGGAAGACTGCCTTTTAAAATACCCATTTTATTACTCGTCACTAAAGGAGAACTAGAGGGAAAGAAGGATCACATATGAAAGAACTGTACTTTTGAATCCAAACATCAAAGTTACAAGGGGAAATATGTACCTTTAATGTGGTATGCAGAGTATGTGTGCTTGAAAATATATTTTGTTAAGAACTATAAGTGTTGGTAAAGAGGAGGATATGTCTTTAATATCTTGACACATTCTAACTTAAATCTTCAGAATTTGAGCGTACTCATTACCCTGATGTCTTTGCCCGTGAACGCTTGGCAGCAAAAATTGATCTGCCCGAAGCCCGGATCCAGGTAAATAAGGTGAACTAGTAGCCATTTAACAAGAGAGAAATGGGCAGGGCTTTCTACCATTACACTCCTTGTTCTCTTGGGCAACAGAGTTCCTTTTTTAAATTTTTTCCAGGTCTGGTTCTCCAACCGTCGAGCTAAATGGCGTCGGGAAGAGAAACTGCGAAACCAGAGGCGTCAAGCAGGTGGCACTGGGGGGCACCTGATCATAAACAGCACTTTTGGCCCTGTAGGCAGTGGTGTCTACCAGTCACTCCCCCAGTCTTTAGGGTCAGGTGAGGGCCCTGTCCCCAAGCAGATCATTCACTCCTCACCTATTCCTGGGGTCTTCCCAAGCAGAATAATTCATCAAGGTATCATGTATCCTTTGGAAACTTTGGTGCCATGAGAGACTCCTTTAGATTCTGGACTTAAAAGATCACTTGGTAATGCCTGTTATTCATTCATTGCAGAAATTGATGAGCCAGCTGAGCTGTTTTTAAGAACACACTTCCTCATTCTATTGAAAGCTTCGTGGGCTATTTCTTAATTTGCTTCCTCAAGGGTACTGCTCTTCTGTATCACAAATCTCTTTTCCAGGTGCTATGCTGGGCCATACAGAAAGTGTCCTCAGCAACAACTATGGTTCTCTCCCACCTATAGCCCCCTTCTCCATGGCCAACAACGGCCTCCCTATTCAGGTGAACTTAAAAGGAACAACAGAATTCTTGAAAGCGCCAAGTGGGGGTTGCTGATGACCGGTGTTGATTCCCCAGCAATATTAATATCCTTTTTTTCTTTCTCTGTTGCATATTCTCTGGTACTCATTAGCAGGCAGTGCCCCCAGTTGCCAGCCAGTCGTCATCTTATTCCTGCATGCTCCCTGGCAGCCCGTCAGTGCGAAGTTATGATTCATACGCACCCTCCCAACTCCCCTCTCACAGTCTGAATGCCAGCAGTGGGACCTCTACTGGTAACGTAGCAGAAACATACGGGGAAGTGGGATTGGGACAGGGTGAGATGGAGGCACAGCACTTGGGAAAACAGAACTGACTGCAGGAAAACTTGGCAGGAGGAACTGGGCAATCATAACGGCCACAGCAAATACAAGTGAAGAATCTGGGAATCTGGGAAGTAATTCTTACACTGTAGTGGGTAGAAGATGTCCGCTTGTGTGAATTTCTTTTAATATTTTTGAAGACAAAATAGGAGAAGCCTCTTTCTAGTCTTGTGGTCATGGAAAAATAATTCAATGTGCTAGTTTCATTTTTCTTTCATTAAGGGCAATATTTACTCATCAGGCATCATTTTAACTACCATATTGGGTATCAGAGTCTTGCTTTACACAGACCACAAAGCCATTTTCAGCCTCAAGAAAGACAATAAAGAAGTGAACAAGCAATGTCAAAGTCTGCCAAAGAAATTGGACAAAGGGAGAAATTATTTTTAGAAACAGATTTGCTACTTCATCCCAAAAGGCATTGCCTGTTTCATATTTTTTTTCTACTTGTTTTTTCAGTTCATTTTTTTCAACTCATTATCACTAAATTATATTAGCATGTTTGGGGGAATGGGAAGGGAAGGGAAGAAAACTAAGTGAGGGTCCTTGGTGCTCTCTGAATTTGGTTGTTTTCTTGCAGATGTTTCATAATCCAAACTAGGTAACATCGTCAGTGCTAGTAAAAAATGGGATTTGCTCTCTTTTTATAATTCTAGTGCAGGGGTAGGCAACCTTGGCTCTTTTATGACTCGTGGACTTCAACTCCCAGAATTCCTGAGCCACCCATGCTGAAGGGAAAGGGAGAGGTTTCCAAGGTGAGCCATGCTGGCTCAGGAATTCTGGGAGTTGAAGTCCACGAGTCATAAAAGAGCCAAGGTTGCTTACCCTGTATCTAGTGGCTTGCCCTATCAGTGGTGGTGGAAAAGGTCTTGATGGTTCTTTGGCTGGTCTGTTTACTGTTAGCTTACTTGGTATTTCCTTGATTGGGATATTGTTTTCTTGATTGTTGGTCTAATGTTAATCTTGGTGTTAATCTCTGCTCACCTGGGTGCTCATCTTTCAACATAAGTGAGACTTTTGCTCCTATACATGTATCCATCTGGGAATCAAAGCAAGAGTGTTTCTCTTTTGCAAAAGCTGAGGCTCTTAGAAATGTATATTTCATCTCCTTTCTAATGCAAACAGTCCACCCATTCTCTTAAATAGTTGTTAGAAATCCAAGGAACCATGAACACACATTATTCCAGGGGCCCAGAAGTGTCTCTGGGGCTCTGCCATCTCGCTAGCTTTTAAAGAAGCAACCTTTTTGTTGCCTTTTCTACATTCAGAGACATCATATTTAAGGAATCTGAAATAGCCTTGGCAGTCTGTGAACAAGGAATAATTAGTGCAGCAGGATTGTTCAACTTGTTTCAGTTTTTGTCCCCAACTTCCACAGGATGTTTCCTACAGTTGCTGAGTTGAAAGCCTGGGTTCAAAATTTTGCACTCTGTAACGTTCTGCCAGGATCCATCTCCCCAACCCCCACTGACACTTTGTCTCTCTTTCTAGGGTTGATCTCTCCCGGAGTGTCAGTTCCTGTACAAGTCCCAGGTGGGGATGCTGATCTTGCCCAGTATTGGCCCCGACTGCAATGAACACAAAAGTGATGGAGGAAAAAAAGCAAACAAATGAAAAGGGAAGATTAATGGAGAGAAAAGGGCTTTTCCTCTGCAAAGGCAAATGCAGGAGTGGTGAAAAACTCTCAGGGAGGGGATGGCACACAGGGAGAACTTCCCTGCCCTTCCCTCTTTGTGTCTTTAGGTTAGGACTGTCTTGGTTCTAATGCAATGTGTTTCAACCTTGGTAACTTTAGGAGCTGTGGACTTCAACTGACAGAATTGCCCACCCAGCAGGGGGAATTCTGGGAGTTGAGATCCACACCTCTTGAAATTGCCAAGGTTGAAGAACACTGCTCTAAAGCTTCTCTTGCCTTCTTCAACATCTCTGTGTGCATCCATAGCCGTTCTATTGCCTTCCTTGCCCAATTGGCATTCTGTCCCATGAGCCTCCTCTTCTTGTTTGGCTCTAGAGTATCTGCAAGGTCTAGTCAAAGAAGTCAAGATGAAGGCCAAGCTTCAATGAAACTGCTGTATCCTCCATCTTGGGTTTTGGTTTTTTTAACCAGACCTTGCAGACACTCTGTTTGGCTCCCAGCGAGAACAGTGAGAATCAGAACAAAAAACAGGTCAGGAAAAAGAAGGGAAAGGAACATCTTTGGATGAATCCAGCATAAAGGATTTGAGGAGGAGGGAGAGGGGCAAAGAGAATTAGTGCTCCTTGCAGGAATAGCTGCAAATGGCAGGAAATGAATAATGAAAGGTATAAAAGAAAGTTGGAACCTTCGACAGTAATGCTTAGCAAAATCTGAAAAGGATGGCAATGATTATCATTCATTCATTCATTTACTTCCATACTATTTATTTATCAGACTTCTAATTCCCACCTTTCATATGGAAATCTTGTGAAAGGATGGGATTCATGTAGTGGGAAGCCCAAGAAAGTTAATGGGAGGAAAAGTATGTACCAATCCTCTTTTGACCTATTGCAAAAGTCTGTAGGGAAAGCATAGCATTCCTACTATGGGCAAGTTTTGCAAAGGATTGTGGGGGTGAAAAAACCCTCCTGTAGTACCATGGAAAAATTAGGTGGTGCAAAGGTTACCAGTGTTACTTCATTGATGTGTGATATTCAGTGTTTGTTTTTTTACAAAATTGCCCTTTAACTCATTTCCCATAACCTAGTTTCTGCTATCTCCCTTGTTCCACATGTTTTCTCTTGTGCATGCAATTCATTTAGCTGAATTTTACATGGGTCTCAGAGCTTGGGACATCTGCCCTCCCTCTAACCACTTACACAAACACACACACTACCGGTACTTGTAAGTTTAAACTGTTTCATGTGTGTTAATAAAGGACCTATGTACATAATACTCTATATGTGTGCATTGTGTGTGCACATGCATGCATGCTCATGTGAACAATATAGTCACATCATCCCAGTTTTAGGCAATACGGTCTTATGCCAGAACTGGGGTAGTGGGGTGTAATGGGAAAGATAAAAGAATAAATAGAGCAAGAGATAATGTATTATTACAATGCAAAAATGTAGTAAACATCTATTAAAGCTTCATTAAAGAAAAGCAAAACTCAATGTCAACTTTTCTGCAAGTGCATTCAGTTTGATTTCAGCTTTGGATGTTGTGGAGGAGATTTAGAACCTGTCCATTATAAGTTAGTGTTAAAGCTGCCTCTTGCTCTTTCTCAGCTCTTTTTCAGTTTATCAGGAATGCTTTCTCTTGTATTACCCTATCTTTTATTCAGCAAGCATCTCCCACCTTGGTCTGCCTTGCTTTTAGTTACGGCGTGTGGTTTGGGGTGCTGAACAACAGAGAGAGCTGTATTAGACGCTAAACCACATGAAGATTGTTGTTGATGCAGGACATAGTAAACCTCTGTGCATTACTTGAAGGGCTGAGCAATTGTAGTCTGCTCCAGATTTTTTTTTTAATAAAACAAGAAAACAAGAATAAATGAGGCAAGAAAAAAGCTATGAAATTATGCAAAGATAATGGGGTTGTATCCAGGACGAAGAACACAGAACTAGGGGAGGGAGAAATGAGATGCAGAACTCAAATATTTAAGTGTTAAGGCTAGTTCAACTCACTAATAACACAGGGGTCTGATGAACTCACACTGGAGATTGGATACAACAAGAATAAGAAGAAAAATCCACTGCTATCTGGCTATGGAGTTCTGAAGTTGGATGCCGGTATGGCAACCCAACGGGCCTCCAGACATTAACTCACACTGATCTCTGGGAGTGGAGAATCCAATATTAGAGGGAGAAATGGAACAATTTTCCTCATTTTTATATATTGTAATCATATTCCATTTCCATTTCTGATTTAAAAAAAGAACCCTGCAGATCAACTCCTTTGTGAAATGCAAACAATGCAGTAGCCTTTTTGGTAGCATATGGGAAGGTGAAAAAACATTGTGAAATGTTTTTCTTGCATTAGAAATTAATCTCTCATCAATAGTGAGGATCTTTCCAGTGAATAAGCATAGGGTTGTTTCCTTCTGATTCTCGTCTGTAAAATAGATATCTCCAATGAAAATGGGGGTGGGATGGGTGTCAGAAGCATTATTTATAGCAGTGGTTCTCAACCTTTCTAATGCCGCGACCCCATAATACAGTTCCCTATGTTGTGGTGACCCCCAACCACTTATACATCACCGAGTGCCAGGGGCGTGGCCAAAGAAAAGGGGGGAAAAATGGCGGACAGTGAAATGGTCGTTCGAACCCAAATGGGGTCCCGACCCACAGGTTGAGAACCACTGATTTATAGGAAAAGCATATTACGTTTTAGTGAGTATTGTGTTAATTTGTTTTCTAGGCCAAATGTTGTTCAAGGTCTTAAGTGACTGGTTAGGTGCCATACTCTGAAAATAGTAAGAATAGGATAAAAAAGTGAAACATTGGTGTTAACATTGGTGTTATATTTAATTAAATATATTGATAACTTTGAATTAGGCTTAACTTGACCTGGCAAGCCTTTTTTGTTATAAGGACCCTCCATAAAATTCATTCTGAATTTTCTCAGAGAAAAATTGAGACATGAATACCACAATATCAAATCAATTTTTTTCCCTTTATTATTCACACTTAAAATTTCAAAGACAACTTTGGGGAGTCTCTAGGGATCTTGCTCAAGATTTTCCTTAAGGTTATGCATCTCTCTCTTAATCAAATTAATGGTTTATATATGCATAGGACAATAAATGAAAAGCTAGCATATGTGCAAGTCTCTATGCTTTGCATTTTTATTAAATATGTTCTGATTTCAATAGCTAATGCTGAACCCATTTCTCAGCTATCATTTTTTTTCCAAGAACTTGTATTAAAAATTATTAACAATTTTTTTTAAAAAAAAAAAACATGCTTAAATAATTGAAAATGTTTTCCTTGAATTTTCCTTGAAAATGAATTCCTTGAAAATACACACTGTTTTAAACTGATTAATCCAGCTTTTTAAAACTTGGTGCCCTCTGTATGTTGAATTATAAACCTCCATACTAGATCCCCAACATGATCCTTTGGTAAATTCTTGTGAACTGGCAGGGATCTCATGAATGCTGCCTTTTCTTCCAAAATCACAACATGTCCTCAAAATTGTAAATGATACCATATCAAAGACAACTGGAGATGTACCATTCAACAAATTTATAACAAATTAATGCTGTTATAGTTCTAGTAGTTTTCCTCCAAGTTTATCACAGCAATCCTGACTGATGTGAATTTTGATCAACAAATGTAATACATCTAATGATTTAATACCTATGGCACAAAAGCTATGTGTGTATCTTCAGTACAGATAGGAAAAAATATTGAATTTGGATATGACCCACTATGGATATGGATTGAAAGAAGTGGGAATGTTGCTTGTCCCAGTTAAATAATCTTCTCTTTCATTTCCCTATACAACCATATATTATGCTTTTAACAGTTGCAGAAGTACTATAATATGCAAAGCTATCCTAGCATTGCAGCTCCACACTGGTGGGAAAAATATACTATATCAGTTGAATTATATCTGGGCACAAGTAAACTATAGACATTGGCCTGTAAAAAAATCATGGTCTTCCTTTAAAAATGGGCACTAAGAGAAGGTGGTGATAATGGTAATAGCCCTTCCAAATTGTGGATTCCCAAGTTATGTCCACACTTGAGCCAATTTTCTGGCCAAGGAAATATGGTTCTGTTTACTAAGATTTTTTTTTCTCATAGTTGGCTCTGTTCTTAGTTCCTGTTTATTCAGAGACCCCACCCTCTCCCAAGAGCTAGTTTGAGAACCACAAACCACCGCACCCTCCTGAGATTGGAGCACCTGCACGGAGGAAGTGGTTGGAGGCAGTTGGCCAAGGGTGTGGGATGTATTTTTGAGCATCTGCCAAGATAGGTTGGAGGGGGGAGGTGGACAGCAGCAGGGATTGGGTACCAACTCCCATAATGGCATCAAGTTCAGTTGGGGCTGCAGTAAATAAGGGTGAGATAAGTATGTTCTCTACCTGCCCTCTTGAGAACTGGAGCAGAGGCTTATGGGTAAAACATCTGCTGGATCTTTTAGGAGATTGGTAATAGATTTTAAAGAATAAGCCTCTTTACCCAAGAGCCAGTACAATGCTCTATTTCAAGAGTTGACCACTTGGACTACCACACTAGTACAATCTCCTCCTCCTCCTCCAGTCATGTATATTTTGATTTTGGAAGACTGGCTCCAGGTTTGCCAGGAGGTTGATATTCTCATTAATAAGCAAAACGAGAGACTCTGAAGAACTCAAGATGGTTTCCTACCTCCCCAGTGAATGTTCTTGGGCAGGCTGTCACTCTCCTATTTTCACAAACATGCAGTTGGTTGCCATTTCTTCAGCAAGAATAATCCTCCTCTGGTTGCTTGCTTGAACCTTTGATTCCCAGAAGGGAAATCCTGTTCATTGCAGAGTAATGTATGTGCTTCTGGCTGAGAAGCAGCTGCTGCTGGGTCTCTAGCCTCCGCTCAAATACATCCAATGCCCCCCCCCCATAGTATTGCCAAATTGCTCTTCCTTTTTGTATGTTGTCTCTGACATTCATTGGAATATGCCTTCCTGTCACTTAAATCCAGCCTTCCACATTTTGAGCTCTGGAATGAAGGAACTATTTCCCTGACAATTTTATCAATCTCTTTCCCAACTGCAACAATCACAATCTTTCAAGAAACCATGGGGATACTGATCTTTCCATCTCAGAAAAGATATGGAAGATCAAGAAATCACTATTTCTCTTGGAGATGATCTTCGTAATAAATTTCCTCTCCTTCTCCTTTTTTTCTAAAAGCCAAAAGGAAAATTTAAGTGTAAAAAGAAAACATGTGACAAGTATGGAGAAAGCATTCAGGCATCTACACTCTCCTTGTGTCAAGTCCCACACAGTTGGGCAAGATCGAGAATCAAGAATGACATGATTTCACTGAGGTATCTTTAATGCTAGCCTGGGGTTAATGCATGCCTTAGAAGCTGCAAAAGGAATTTCTAACCCTCATTTAAAGACAGTTCGTTAAGGCAGAGCCTCTTTGAAGGATCTGAAACGTTTTCTCTCCACCTGGGCTAAGTGGCCGTTTATGAGATAAGATGTCAACTGTTTTACCTGTTGTCTATTGATTGTTTTCTCTCCCTTTCATTCCTTGGAGAGCCTCTCCACAAACTGTCACTCTTGGCAGTGACTTCCCTTTCAAAGATATGTTGGGTCCTGGAGTTAATTAGAAATCTGGCCTTTGAGAGAGAACTGCTTTAAAATCCTTTCATTTCTATCATTCATGGGATTCCAAATTAAGGTTCACTGGATTTCAGAAATAGCATTTTGCCTTGCTATAGGCACAATCTGCTCTCTCAAAGTGATCTGACCAGGCAGGAAGAATGCTTGGAAGGACATATGATCTACAGAGGAAGTATGGAGAACATGTACAACTTGATCACCAAAAAAAGACTGAAACATTATAGGGTGTAAATAATCCCAGGAGAAATACAGCACTACAATAATAATTAGTCATAAACCTTGGTGCTAAAGCTTGTCTCTCCCAGTTCTGTGGAAAGGTAGTAATACCATAGATATCAAAGCAAGATAAAGAGAGCTGCCAATATTTGAGGCATGATTTGCAGTTACAATTTGGCAATTATTTTGTCAGACGTTGTGGCCCAAGGCTTGCAAGGATGCTGCCTGGACCAGCAGCCAAGGGATTTAGATGTCCGGAGAAAATTAGTCATCCAGAATACTCCCCCCCCCCCCCCGTTTGCCAATAATGAAGCCTAGGGTCAGTTTCTCTCTTTGAAGGAGAATGGAATAACTCTTTCCTCTCCCCCAATTATCCTTTCATTTGCACTGCCAGATCTGGGCATCTGTATTTTTTTTTAATTTTTGCTTCTTCTTTATCTAAAATATATAGGGAGAACTTAGATAGTAAATAACTATATAAGGTATCATATTCTAATATACTGCAGAATATGTCACAAATCTTAAATACAGATTAAAGGGTTTAGGAGGTTGGTTATTGTATGGAAACTGGGAATATTGATTTTCTGGAAGACCCACATTCAATTATCTATGAGATAAATATTCCTATATAGCAGGGGTCTTCAAACTTGGCCCTTTTCTGACTTGTGGACTTCAGTTCCCAGAATTCCTCAACCAGCATACCTGGTTGAGGAATTCTGGGAGTTGAAGTCCACAAGTCATAAAAGGGCCAGGTTTGAAGATCCCTGCTATATAGCAACAGCACTTCGATTTATATACCACTTCATAGTGCTTTACAGCACTCTCTTAAGCAGTTTGCAGAGTCAGCATATTGCTCCCAACAATCTGAGTTCTCGTTTTACTGACCTTGGATGGATGGAAGATTGAGTCAACCTTGAGCCAGTGACAATCGAACTCCTGGCAGTGAGCTGAATTAGCCTGCAATACTGCATTCTAACCACCGTGCCACAAAAGCTCCTTTCCAATCCTTTATCTTAAAGTGAAAATGGCCAAGAAGGTCAATGCCCATTGAATGCCCTGCATGGGGCATGCCCAAAGCAGACTTAAACAGCTAATAGGAATTGCATAGTTTGCAACCCCTAACCACATCATCACCAATAGCATCACCAATGTGCTGTACACAGTCTCTATGGCAATATTTGTGTTTGGAGAAGAAGGAAAGCTTTGGTATGAATTGTTTTACAATGAAACAAATGAAGCTAAGAGATAAGATGAAAGCAACTTCACGAAGACATGTCCCTCAAAAATTATTATTAAAGCATCTTCATAATATTGTTGGTTGCTTGAAAAATGCTATTATATTTCTTTTCATCTGCTATTCAGTCCCAGCACCTTCAGGTTCTCCTTAAAGGACATATTTCTAGTCTTCTCAAACATTCTCATTGCCCTTTTCGGAAACTGTCTTCTGAATCTTCTTAAAGTGTGGTGCCCAAAACAGCATTTTAGATGGGATTTGGCTAAAACAAAATAAAGGAGAATAACTGTGCTTCCCCCCCCCCCAATATATTTATGAAGTTGGAAGAACCAATGTTTTTGATTGTAGTATCTGATACTGATTCAAATATAAAAAGTTTGAGTTACATAAATTATATGGAAGTTTTATATGCTGTGATTTTTATTTGCATTGCTATTATATATCAAATAAAAATAGTAATACTGTGATTTGGAAACATACTTTTATGATTCAGCCTGAAATTGTATT